GGGGGGGGGGGGGCACACTCCCCCATGCCATCTGCTGTATGGGCTAAGGGGTTAAAATCCAACTTAAGTATTTAAGGCACCCACACTTACTATTTGATCTACTTCCACTCCCAGAGTTTGTCTCCAGAGTTCAGCGCGGACACCAGGGGGCGCTCCTTTCTTCAGAAACTCCTGACTGAGCGGACTATGCTTGTTGTTCAGCACTGGAAATATCAAATACAGTACCTTGTGGTAATATATTTTTTATAATTATGAAGAAAATAAGAAATTTGATTAACCTCTTAATGTACACACACACACACACACACACACACGTGATAACTTAAAAGACAGGTACCATACTTACAAAGGTGATAATTTAAGTTTTAGTTGTGAATATGATTATATTATTAGTAAACCAACCCTTCACAAAATGAAAATTTTGCAGCAAATGCAATGCAAATTTGCCACAAACTATACAATTTGCAGGATTCTGAAAATAGTCTCCATGAGATTGCAAAAAAGGGGAAAATTAGCAACAAATTTGCCTCAACTTTTCAAGAGTATAGTATCTTCTGATTCTTACTAATTTGTTGCAGACCTCATCTGCATGAAATAATTCTCTCTTAAAAATCTGCATCAAATTAGCATTTTGGCAGGTGTAGCTGATAAATTAGCTGAAGTTGGGCTATAGGCTGTTCATCATAATATGTGGGTCCACTGAAAGGCATAGTGCTAGTCTAAAAGTCATAATTCTATGTCTACATATCCTGAAAAGCTACTTATATAATTATTAAATATGTCTCAATTCAGACCTCAAAATGATAACCCCCCTCAAATATAAGTACCTGATGTTGACAGTTCCTGGTGCAACTTTAGGAAACTTGGCGGTCTACATTTGTGCACTTAATTTGGGTTAAGTTAAATTATTCAATTAAAATTGAAGAAAAATGTCAAATCCAAGTGCACAGTCAGATAGATTCTTGTGTAGGAGAAAATTTTGATGAAGGATTTGGCTTGAAAATACCCAAAAGGATACTTATAACAAGGCATAACAAACAGAATTAAAGCTGAAAACACATGTCCTTAGTATAAGTATAAAGAGCTGGTAACTTGTATGGTGGTGCTTTGCTATTATGTATTGCCCACAAAACCACAGCAGATGGGTCAAATATACTGCTTCATTAAGGCACGCAATACCAGTACGTATAGTGTATGTCATGTTAGGAGAAGATTCATAAAACCTCTGGTTCTTAAAGAAGACAGTTGGTCTCCTTTTCATAATACTGGGATGAGACGGATAATTTGATTTCTGTCAGCCAGAATCAAAGTTGAGACGGCTGGAATTTTCCCTGACTGACATTGACAGGTACCCTGAAAACAATGGGTATAGAGTGTTTCTGATGCATACAATGCAAATCACACAGGAGGAGCCTACCAAGCTGAGAAAACAGGGTGCACTGACACGAACTAAACATTTTAATATTGCCATACTGAAGATACAGTTTAGTAGAAGTCTTGGGTGTTCAAAAGAACCACCCTTCTGACCAGAATAGGTTTCCTCTGAATCAAAAATTTTACCTAGATTCCATGCCATTTCTCAAGTTGGATCACAATTATAAAGGATGAAATCAGAAAAAGAACCCCCATTTTGAAATTGTTGGCTACAGGCCCGAGATGTTTTTTTTTTTTTTTTTTTATTAATATTCAATTTTGCATATCCTGTAGTCCATTTTAATAGTTTGATCAAATTGGAATTCACCAAGCTTTGAAGTCAGGTGAAATTTGTAGGATTTCCTCTTTTACATAATAAACAAAAAAGCTTTTATCCATCCTACCTTTCTTGGCCAACTTTGATCTGTCATTATCAAAGAGTTCAGGAGGGATGTCTGGGTTATCATCAACACCAGTTTGGCATTGGTTGATGGACATTTCATTGAATCTGAGCCTCTGAAATCACAAAAATAGTCACAGAATGAGAACAGGACTTTGATACAACAAAACTTTACTTTTCCTGGAATTTTCAACACTATTTCTTTTTGTCACCTTGGTATATTACATGCTAAACTATCAAAAAATATTATTTTTATACAGATTTAAGAATTCTAAGTTTCTAATCTACTGGCTTGTACTGATCACTGACAAAATATACTTCAAAGAAGCTAAGAAGACTAGACATTTCCTGATGACCCTGAAAAGCACCCTGAAAACAATGGCAATGGAGTGTTTCTGATGCACACAAAGCATGTCATACAATCCATCTAAGCTGGGAAAACAGGGTATAAGTCATGAGAAGAATGAAAGAAATACTCTTTAAACTGGCTCCGTATCATAATGTCTTACAAAGTCTGATAGTATGTTGTCTGGAATTCAATAACAGACATTTCGCTTTAAGTCACTTGCAATTGACCCGGCATGAATGATCTTTTTATACAATAAATTTCAAAGGATGTTTTAGGCTTTCAATCAAATTCAGATAAGTAATATCAATCAAGTTATTCAGAATGGCATGTCTTCTCTTTTGATGACCAGAGAAATGTTGATTTTTATTTGATCCCAATGTACAAAAACACTTCTCATAATAACAACATTTACTCTCCCCTCTCTCTCTTTTACACACACACACACACACACACACACACACACTTTAAGCAAGCATAGCAGGCCCATAGCCAGCAATTTCAAAGGGGGGTTCTTTTTCTGAAAAGTGGACCTTTTACCATATAATCCCCATGTACCTAGGTCAAATTTTACCTAGAGTGGACCTTTTAACAGAAAAAAGGGGGGTTCTTTTGAAACCCCCGAACCCCCCCTGGCTACGGGCCTGCATAGTTTAGTGCTAAGTAAAAAGAACCTTGAAATCATCAAACAAAAGTAATCAATAATTTGTAACAAATAAACAAAAACAAACAAAGAAATTGTCCCGTAATCAATCAGTATGTTGAAGGTAACTCTCTGCACATGAATCAAGTTCCAATTACATACTATCTGAGTACAAACATGTCAGTAACAAGCGGTCATTATTGAAAAAACATCCAGATCAAAGAATTCCTTGGGGACTTTTGCCTTCTACCTACACAAAGAACGTAAATCTACACTCATCTGCCCATTACGGCAGAAATCAAATTCTTGCTCCTGATATAAAGGAATGTTTACACAACATGTTGAGGAGTTGACTATGAACTAAACTGAAATTTAATTTTGTTTTTTTTTCACTTAATTTCATTTTTTAAAATTTCATTTTATTTTATCTATTTCATGATATTATGATATTATTTAATATCATAATGATATTATTTAATGAGTTATTGTTCAGAACAAGCATGCGTTGAAGTTACAGACTAATAATTTTAACAATATTGTTCTACTTAATTTCTTCAATGCATAGCACTCATATGTTTAACTTAAAACAAGAAATATATTTGAAATTTAATTCCAATATCAAAGACTTAAAAAGAAATCAAGAATGAAGGATTTTCCTACTGGTCTAGTACTGGTAGTAGAAAAAGTGACTGTTTAGTCATTCTAGGCACAGACCAGTATTACCTACAATTGTGGCATAATTGTTGCATTTTAAAATTGTCTAAATTCAGAGACTCAGTGTAACTTAAAGGGATAATAACTCTTCATATGAGATCTATATTCCACAATAAAACATTGTGAATAACTCATAGAAATATAATATATTCTGTTTTACCACAAAAACGGCAGTTATAGCTATTATTCTGATATCTGAGCTTGTCTTTAGACCACGTGACCTCCATTGATGGCTATACTCTGTTAAAATCTCTTAAGAGGTTTTAACAAAAAACCAAACTATTTAGAAAAAAACCAGGGACTAACTTTGAATGTAAAAATGGATTCAATAACCTTTGGTAAGTATGGGAAAATTGTTGTTTACTCCAGGAAAATTCATTTTTTGGCCGAAACGAAGAGTTAGTATCCCTTTAAGTTCACTGCAGATTTAACACACTTCGTCTAAACTTTCTTTAAGAAAAACCAGACCAGTGCTGCAGCTAATAACAGTGAGAGCAAACAGGTCCTGGGGTGAATCAATACATATCCTTACTTAATCAAACCAAGCCAAGAAAAAAACCATGGCCACCAAACCAGATGGAAACCACAGGTTCAATGACAATAGACCCGAAAACCGCAAACAAAAGCCACTTGGAGAAAAGGATGGAATCTGCAATAAAAACTTTATCAATTTTTTTTATTCATTGCCATTCATCATTATTCAAGAAAGTTTTTATTCTTTTTTTTTTTTTTTTTTTTTTTTTTTTGAAGCTATAAATTCACGTATTCATGAAAGGCTTTAAAGCAGAGATTGTTTGTTTAACAAAAAATATTTTCAGTTTTTACTGTTTTCAGTTGAAATTGGTTTTCTACATGCAGCTATGTTAAGGCGATTGGCTGTCACTCTAAAGAAAGTTCTAATGTTTTTATTATTGTTTTTGTTCTAAGAGATGTCCTTACTGATGTGAAAAAAAAAAAACCTATGATCAATAGCAATTTTCTTTCCAAATCATTTCTTGTGACTTAGATAAATAATCAAATTATTCTTTCCCCTTCATAAACTAAAATGAGTTATACAAAAGAAAAGCATCAGACCAATTAATATATTTACAAATAAAAAGTGCTTCTAACCTTACTTTTAAAGTACCATTAACCCTGGACAGGTGACAAAACTCTATATTACTGAAAGGGGGAAAGACTACTTATTGCTTGAAAAAACAAGAGAAACTATAATAGATATTGCACACATAGGTGGACAATGTTATCACCAGAACTGTTCCCTGTGGAGGCAGTCCTGTTCCCTGTGGGTTCACACCAAACAATTACCAAATGCATCAACTAAAAAACTGACGTCAAAATGTCTGTGAAGCATCACGCTTCCTCTTTCTCTCTCTTTTTTTAAAATTCCTTGATTTTTTCAACCAAGCTGTTGCACCTAATAAACACATCGTTTCTCTCTTGAGACTGAGAAGAATAGGAATTAACTGTTACAAAGACAGACATTTGGCTGAGGACGGAGTTTTTCTTTGGACGGTTTTGCAGACTTGGATGTTTTCTGCTAATTAGTTCCTACTAATTATTCTTTGAAAACTTGACTGAGGGCTCACTGATAGACCACTCCCACATCTTCCTGATAAGAAAGCAAAAGCTGGCCAACTTCAACTAAAGGTAAGTTATAGGATCACATTTGGCTTAAAAAGAGTATTATTTTTCTTTTAATTCCACACATTTTTGTCACCTGAGATTTACCTGAACAGTTCAGTCCAGTAATAGGTGTTAAACTAAAAAGAAGGGGAAAAGCTCATCATTAAAATCCTTTTCTGTAATCTTTAAATTTTCATTAGAAAAACATTCATATTTTCACAACTTAACAGTGCAAACAATCAATACAATCCTATGCTCTGTGTAAGATAATAATCCATAAAACTACATTTTTCACTACAAAATAAACACTGACCAAATCAACATACAACTTGGTTGTTTTTGACAGCATGACAATGTTGAATAATCTGAAATTCCATGGTACCAGTAGCTAGATCCAAAACCACATTTTTTTTTTACTGATCAAAGTTTTAGACTGGTAATTAAATCTGACGTCTTAAAACCGCACAGTTCAAGCTACCAATCTGAAGCAGCATGCAGTAAATGCTCAGGTCGCTAGAGTTGATATTTTAGGATCTTTACTACCATTCCGTTCCAGAGACGGCCACGCTCCTTTCCTTCTCCACACACCCTGGCCACCTTTTACCTCTTGAACTAAAATAGATTAATTCAAAAAATAATTGCTACAGTAAAAACAAATTTATTAATAATTAGTTGCTGGAGCCTGGGGGTCTATAAGATCCTTAGGGTTAAATATGTGCTGTTTTTAGATCCCTTACAAGCTGACACTTGTATTTTCTACAAACATATCTAATTTCACGACAATGAAAACAAGTTTGAAAAAATTAGGTTGGGTGTTATTTAGCAGAGAGGAATTTGATTCAAAATTGGGTCTACTGGATGACAGACAGTGCTTGGCCTTGCAGTTCAATCAAAATATACATGGCAATATATTTATTTAAAATCAATGTGAAATTTTACAGTTGAATATTCATTTCTATAAATAAACAGTATTCCCAGTTATCTGAAAATCAAAACTTGTCCTGATAACATCATAACACTGAATAGGGTACAATCTACATATTGCTTACAGATGTGTTCGCATGTCTGAATCATAAAATCAAACTGTTTAAAAAATATTCATAAAAGAAATAATACTGAAAAAAAATGCATCCTTATATCCTGCTTCATAAATAAAATTCCCATCAAAACAAGCTTTAAAAATCATTGTGAAAAAATAAATAACAAACAGTATCTCGTCCAAAACAGCTAATCTGGTTACTACTGGACAAGGCCTGAACCCAGCAGGGCAGTGCGATCAGTGATCAGTGCAGTGAAATCATCCAATAGAATGGGTTCACCTCACAGATGCTGAGACTGGAAATGAAGTTCATCACACTCTGGCAAACCCCAGAGTCATTTCAATCCAATTAGCGCAGGTCATCCATGTTTGACCTTCCTGGCGTGGCCTGGTGGGAGGAGAGAGCAGGCCATTAGATTAATAAGTTCAAGTAAGAGGGCAGGGGGAACATTTCTGTAAAATAAAAGTGTAGTGAGTATATGGTCATGGTCAGAAAAGTCTAAATGACAAGAATTGATGATGTGTGGATTTTAGGAAGGTGTTTGGTTAACTCCCACCATGCTTATTTTACTCCCCTACCCCCAATTATATTATTTCACTACCACCCCCACTAATTCTATTCCCCCCCCCCCATATATTCTACCTTCAACACCCACTTATTCTATTCCTTCCTTTTTTTCTACCAGATCCCCAAATATCCTACCCCCCCCCAACCCCTACTTATTTTACTTTCTCCAACTCCAATAATTTACAGCCTCGACCCAATTTATTTCACCCCTCAACCCTCATCCCTTCAATTTATCAGTCATATGTGTGACCAAGAAAAACTCTACTTTACACTGAATGCCCTGCTGCTGTTTCTAATCCATCAAAGCTAAACTCAATTTTCTACAGTAAACACCAGGACAGGGACACAATTGATGTGGATAATAGATGGAAGAGGAATTGTTTCCTTTTCAAATCAATTTTTAATCACATTCAGCCAGTGTGTTGTATGGATACACTGGCAATGTTGACGTAGCCACAATAGTAATAGTAAAAGAAAATGGGAAACTTTGGGTGCTTCATATACTAACCATTGGAGGAACAGAGAGAATTAAAGTAATGGTTGATTGTTTTTTTCCAAAAAATAAAGCTGAATGCTTAGAATTACGTACTCCGAAAAGAAATCAGGAAGTTGAAATAGTACTGAATTTTTTCCAGGGTTCAGCTTATGCTGGTCATCATTCTTAACTATCCATCTGATAATAGTGCATTTTAGAATACAAAGGTTTGCGTTAAGTGTGTGTGTGTGTGTGTGTGTGTGTGTATGCAGGTGCATGTGTGTGCATGCATGTCTGACATAGAAAGAGAATACATGTAAATGTTGCTGTTTGAGAAATAGTTCACATTTTTACACATTTTAAACTCAAATGCCATTTTGCCATTCAAAACATAACGGAACGGTTTGGACGAGTTTCTCAGAGGTGAGTTTCCCAAAGGTTGAGTGCTATTCAGTACTGTGGAAAAGATGGACATATTATCTACAGACACATCGTCTGTCCTCAGAAGGTCGGAGATTACTGCCAAAGAGCAATCACAGTAATTGATTTGTACTGTGGAGCTACCAGATGTTCGCGGGTTGTCAGCCAGTTATGAAGAAATGGGATAAAAATTGACATCCGAGACGCGCAGCAACATTTATCACATATAATCAACACAACTTGAACATGCTCTTTTAGTGATTTATGTAGTTTTGTTGCAGTTTATTTTATGGGTGTTTCAGCTCAGAGCTTCCTCACTTATCCAGAATGTAAAACAAATTTTCACAATAACACCAGATGAGAGGAAATAATATCATACACTTTTTTTAGAGGAAAATCAATGTAAAACCTGAGTGAATTATGGACTTTTGTGGTGATATATTTTTAGACTGTTTCATGTTTCAGTTCAAAGCTTACTGATTTATCTAGAATGAAAAACAAATTTTAACAATAACATCAGATTAGGAAATATACACTTATCTTAGGAATAAAGATACAAATTAGACTAGACATTTCTAAGGCTTAATTCACTATAGAACAAATCTCCATTGTTGAAGTCTCTCAAGTTAAAAAGTTAAGAATGCAACCAAACTTTTATAGTTCTCACTATATGCACTGACAAGATACAATGCTATATAGATTACTGAATTACCTTGTTTAAACTTGATGTTCTGATCATAAATTTTTAATAGATGTAGAATATTTTCCTCAAAATGAGTTAACAAAATAATTCCTCACAGGCCTGTCTGTTGTTTTGTAGATATCAGCTAAAGTGACTAATAGTATATTATCTACAGGACTGGACCTAGATCTGTATTCTGTAAAGCCCTTTAAAGTGACCATTTAAGTTGGTGATTTCTTATTTCTCTCTCATTTTAAATTTTATTCTTTTTTTAGTGATTATGCCAGGCAAAATCAGAATCAGCAGTTTGTATAAATAACATTTGGATCACAGTGAAGTGTTAGGAAGTGACTGGACTGTGTCTTATCCACAATGTACTGTCTACGTTGTCATTGTTGTTCACTAACACCAAACTTGTTCATTAAGGGAAACCATGAAATATTAATGTCGACTTGAAACTCCTGTTACCATTGAATTTAGCTCTGTTGGAACGCTGATAAAATAGTTAAAACTAATTATTTTCTGACTATTATTTCTCCCCATGAAAAACAGCCAAATACGTTGCCGAAGATGAAGATGCCCCAGTGCCTCCCCCCCCCTCTCTCCTCCTCCCCTTCTCCTCCCCCTATTGGTACGTAACGGGATATACCAGCTTCCAGAAGAGAGCAGGTAGCACTCACTCTCAGTGAATAATGAGGCTAAATTGGGTGTTAATTTAAAGCCAAGGAGATATGATGTTCCAAACACCACTGCAATTCAAATTCAATTAATCTCTACAATTAACTCAATTAACCTGGAATCTTTTAATTTGTCGTCCTAATCACACCAAGTTAAAGAGCACTAACCCTCATTATCTGCCATGATGCTCTGTCTGAATACTAGATCTGATGGATGTGTTTCTGCTCTTCTCTGAAGGAAAATGAACAGTTGGAACTTTATTTGATAGGGTTGGTCACTACAATAGATGTCCTGTAATACGTTCACCTGATATTTGTATATCATCCCTCAAGAAGGGACTGTTATGACTTGTATGGCAATAAGAGTCTTTGGTTTATAAAGGGCAAGGAAAGGAAAGAAATCAGACCTTTAATGTTTTCTCCCAAAAATTCCATAAAGCTAACAGGTATATATGATAAACATTGGTACTGATTTTTCTTGTCAGATATCTGTTGCTACACGTACGTAGTAGTACAGGCATATGCAAACTATAATTATTTCAATTACACCTGCATCAAAATAAATTGTATAAACTTTGGCACAAAGTTGTTGACTGAAATCAAGCTTGTTATAGCACAGCATGTGTCCAAGCAATTAACTTTTTTCGAAGTTTTGAGAGTAGAAGAGAATCTATCACGTGACTTTCAAGTTCATGGTTTAATTGCAACTGTGATTAATGAACACTTCTTAGTAATGAAGAAGGATTAGGAAGAAATCAGTAATCCAGTAAGTAAATTAAAACCATAAACAAACCCATTTTCAGATATCTGTCCCAATGAATGAGGTGATTTGAGGAAAGTGGCAGTGAGGTCTGGAGGAAGAATGTTTGGTTCTCCTTTCCCAAAATTCCTCAAAGATAACATGATAGCATTGCAAACAAACAAATAAACAAACAAATAAATGACCTATAGTTATTGTTTTTATGCAGGGCTGCTTTACTGATACCAAGATATGAGTTGAAGTTGTTTACACTGGCACTGAACACTCCTCCACTTTGGTCTGCTTGGAAATGTTCAAAAATTATATCAAAATTATGAAATTTAATTACATTCATAAATAGTTTATCAAAATGTTCAAAAAGATGTTCTTCAGAAGTTGCTGAAAATATTACATAATTACAATTAATATTTATATTTATAACATTGATAATTCATTATTCTTGATGTCATGGTTCGAATGGGGATGGGGGGGGGCAATGTTTCACATGGTATAATTGAAAAAATCCTAGAATTTCTGAGAAAATGCTCTACATAGTATTTCTGAATTTCTATGACATTATCAGCCGAGATCTTCATGAACATAGTACGCCTTATGGGTGATGATCAAAATCTTCCTCAAAATGTCATATTCACTTAAGATTTATTACTTTTCTAGTTTCACTAAACTCATTGCTTCCTGATTATCCTGAAAAAATGTATTATGTAATTCATGTTCTATCTGACATTTGGCTGCTTTCTTCCCGGAAACCGCTTAAAAGATGTCTTTTTAAAATGTTACAGGTCTTTTGCAGGAAATACCTAGAATTCACTCTGCTGTTTTCAGGGAAAAAAAGAAATTCCCAGAAATACACACAACTCTTCAACTACTTTTAAAACTTATCTCAGTGTGGGAATTCACTTAGTTGCAAAACAAGTTTTCAAAAATTCTTCGAAAAAATTTGTGTCATGCCCATTACTTGAGAACATTCCAGTGAGGTATTTACAAGTGTCATGCACATGATTGCTTTACCCCATGCTGAAACTTGCTTGTTTAATGTGCATCAAATAGTCTAATTACACGCTACAGGATGAAATAGCAGCGTGTGCTAAATTATCAGACTTAACATGGTGAACACTATTAACATACAAAATATAAACATCAAGCAAGACCATTATAAATAATTCTAAGAATTCTAAAAATTGAACCTCACTCCAAATCTTGCCTGAAGAAAACCAATACCTTGTCTGCAGGATCGGCCTCCACTCTGCTAAGTGCACAAAAATCTATTGCAAGATTATACAAATGTACCATGAAATAGCTAACTTAAGCTGCTTCTTTAATGGGAATTCTTTTCTAAGCTCAAGTTCTAGGCCAACATTTGTGATTGCAAGCTAACGGAGGCAGGTCCTGCACACGTACATACGGATGAAAACTATGCCTTGCAAGGGGATTTTTCCACAGGGATAGGTAAATCCAATCATGTAACCAAAACCCGAGTCGTAATCAGAACTGACGTATGCAGGAGAGGTGAAGATATAAAAGGCTGCGAGGGGTAAAACAATCAACCAGTTTAAACCACAACCAGCACAGTGGGAAGTGCTCTGATCCATGAAACAAATTACCGCAGATTAGGGAAATGGTGGGACTTTCAATGTGAAAATAGTTGGACAAATTTATTCACTGGTGACAGTTTTTGTCTGATCCAAAGGTATGTGTGGCTTAATGTGCTCTTGTTTTTCCTTATCATCTTTTTTTTCTTTGCAGGTGTTAGGTTTGTAATTAAAGCAGAGGTTTGATGAAAATACAGTTCGCATTATTTTACTGTTTATAAAATAATTTTCATTTTATGTTGCAGTTGTTACAGCATCTATGTATTTAAATTTAATTCAATATGTTGTGTGATACAGGTGGCAGTATGAGAGTATGGCTTTCAATGAAGTTCAGCTTAGTCAGATTTTCTAATTTTTTGGTCTAATTTCTATGTTTTTTTTTTAAATATATATATGCATATTTCCACAACAATCAGCTTTTCTGATTACTTGGTAAAGTAAGCGTGAACTAAAACTGGAGGTTATTTTTTTCTCCCCTTTACTCCAATTATAGGACTGGGGCTTCCTACGGCTTCTCTTATTAGATAACAAAGTCAGCGATACAAAATGCATTAATGCGTTTGACATCAGCGTTGTTCTCGTGGGTCATCCCAACCTGCAGTTTTATTTCCATTAATCTCCATGGAGGTTCACTGATTGCCTTTCTTGGTTTCTTTGTGAACAACCCAACTCAAAGTGTTATGGATGGATTTGGATAAAACTTTCAGAAATTTGATAACTTCCATTGG